ACAAACAAACGAACAAACAAAAAGTACTGAATTTTAGCATCACCTTTTGGGAATTGTGCATGGAGCTGCTGGATCTGCAGGGAATTCTGCTTCCGCCAGGGGGGCTCACAGGAGGGCAGGAACCTGGCACTGCTGGCACCTCTGGGGTTAATCAGAGCACCTTTGTGCTCCTGGGATTATTTTTCCTTTATTTTCCCTGTGGCCCACAGCAGGGAAAGGGGATTGACCGGATTTTTTAGGGATTTTTTCCAGGTGTGAAACTCCAGCTCCTGCCTGGGTTTGTTTATCCCAGCTGAGCATCCTGGTGCTGACCAAGGATTCCCTAAAATCTGCTTCATCCTGGTGGAGCCAGAGTGGGATCCCTGCCCACATCCCCCTGCTCACCCCTGCCTGGGGCCAGGCCAAAGTGCTCCCACCCTGCTCCAGGTGGGAATTTTCCAGGTGGGAACAAAGGGATTGTCAGGTCCCACTGCTGGCCCAGGAGGCCTTTCCATGTCCTGGTGCTGGGAGGCTGCAAATCTTCCAGCTGGCAGGGAAAGCCTATTTCAGAGAGATTTGGGATTTTCCCACCACCCTGGGATGAAGGTCTGGGCTGGTTTTAGACACAAATCCCGACACAGCCAAAACCTGTCTGCTGCTTTCTTTGGAACAGCTTTGGGCAGGAGGGGAGGAGGTTTTAGGGGTTTTTTTAGGCTGTAAAAGCAGCTGGGTGCCAGGCAGAGGGGCTGATCCCTGCTTTGCCTTGTCCCGTCCTTGTGTCCTGTCCTTCCCCACTGCAAAATTCCTCCTGAAGAGAGAATTCCATGCAGCCCAGCCCAGGACAGGTCTGCAGATGCCTTTTCCAGGCTTCCAGCCCTATAACCGGTGCAGAAATCCCGTGGCTGTGCATGCCTCCGGCCCTCGGGCTGGAATTTTCTACCAGACCTGTTGCATTTTCCGGGACCAAACTCCAGCAGGGAATTTGTCCCTGGCTGTGCCCCTGCCGTGCTCCCCTTGGGTGTTTTACTGTGAACCCCGAGCCTTTTGTACAGCCACAGCAATTTTGTACCGACCCGAGATACTGTGTGGAGGGAGGAGCCCCTCTCCCCCCTGGAATGTCGCGCCGAGTTCTCTTCCCGGAGTTTTCTTCCCGGAGTTTTCTTGCCGGTGAATCGCTGCAGCTGTGTTACTGCTCTCTCTCTCGAGATGTAAATAAAGATTTTCTCCTGCTGATCCCTGTGCTGGCACAGTCTGTGTGGGCAATGCCTTGCCAAGGCAGCCGGGCAGTGTTGACCTGGAGTTCCTTTGTGGGAGTGAGGAGGAGGAGGAGGAGGAGAGGGGAAGAAGAGGAATCAGAGCACCCCTGCAGGAGGGTGGGAATTGATTTGATTTCCCTCAGGATTTGGGTTTGGATGCAGCACAGCTCTTTGGGTCCTTTATCTGATATAATGCAAAATATTGGTTAAAAAGCCAGTTTGGATGCAGCCATTTGCTCCACNCCAGCAGGGCTCTCAGAACCCCAGCAGGGCCCTCAGAACCACCACCAGGCTCCTTGTGTCCTGCCCACATCCCAAAGAGCCCTGGCAGATTTTTGGGGCCAAGCCCTGAGCCTGGACGGGGCCTCCCTCAGAGGAAGGAGGGTGATCCAGAGAAATCCCCAGCTCCTGTTGGTCCTGCTGGGCTCAGCACATGGGAGGGGGATTTTGGCCTAGAACCAGGTGGGACATGCCATGAAAAATCCATCCAGGACACTGAGGGGTTTGGGTGAAGCACAGGGAGTTTGGCAGGAGGGCAGGAGAAGGGAGAGACCCCAGCACTGGCTCAGACCGATCTGCAGGGAGCACAGGGGGGTTCCAGGGCTTGTTCCTCTTGTGGGGCTGCTGTTCCCTGGAATTGTGGGGCTGCTGTTCCCTGGCCAGTTTGGGAATGATGGATTGCTGCAGGGTGGTAAATCTGCTGCTCAAAAGGAGTAGAGGCCCAGGTGTTTTTAAGCACATGGTGGGGACCAAAACTGCCCTTGCAGGAGAAGGGACAGAACTGCAGAATCCCAAGCAGAATCCCAAAATGGTTTGGGTTGGAAGGGACCTTAAAGCCCATCCCATTCCATCCCCTGCCATGGGCAGGGACACCTCCACTACCCCTGTCCAAGCTGCCTTGGTTGGGATGGCTTCTCCTGACTTCTCCCACCTTTTTTCCAGGAGCAGGGGCATCCTTCACTCCTTCTCTGGCACAGAGACCAACAAGATCTGGCCCTACGTGTACAGCCTGCTGTCCAGCAGGATCCCACCCATCCTCTCAGAGGAGGAGCACTAGCCAGCCCGTGCCAAGCACCAGGATCTCATTCCATCCTGGATGTGGTTCCCAGTGCAGTGCCAGGGCTGTGCTGGGCTTGGGTGCTCATGGCTGGGTGACATTGGTGGGTACCAGCTACAGCCAGGATCAGATCTTTGTTTGGAAGGTCAAGTCTGCTGGAATAAGGGGGTTTTTTCCCACTTTTGGGGCTATGGATCTTTCCTGCCCGTGGTCCATCCTGGATTGGTGGTGCTGACAGGGGCATTGGTCATTCCAGGTTTGCACAGCTTTGCCATGGTGTCCTTGCCATCCCTTTCCAGCCCCAATCCCTGGCTGAGCCCACACGTGCCATCCTGCTGTTCCACAGGACCATTTACTGCTGAGGACTCTCTAGGCTGAGGTGGTTTTTTCTATAAATTATTTTCTATTAAATGTATTTCTCAGAGAAATAAAGCTCTAGAAAGCAACACTCAGCCCAGTGGGAATTTTGGGAGCAACGTGGAAAATGTGTGTACTACAAAGCTGAGAGATGTGGGGCTCACATTTCCAGCATGAATACACACAAAAGAGGAAAAGCCTGGAGGTGAAACTCTCCCTTGCACCCCTTCCATGGGGAGAGCTGAATTCCCTGCTGGACAAGCTGCTGTACAGGTTTTTATGGAATGCTGCGACACTCAGCACGACCTGGGCTGGGGATGAGTTGCACTCCTTTGTGCTTTCCTGGTTTGTAGCTTTCAACATTCCAAAACAGCAAAGTCCTAAGAGTTTCTCCCAAAGATTTATCTCCACGTGTGCTTCAGTTCTGGGGAGGAATCAGCTCATTCCATCTTCTGTGCTGCCTTTGTCCCCAAGGTCCCCTGGCCTGGGGTCCCTTCAGCTGCTCCTGCTGTGTCCCCCAGCAAAATGACTCCTCCCCATGAAATCCCAGAGATCTTTCCTTCCTTGGGATGCAGCCAGGGCCATGCCCAGGTGTTCTCCCACGATTTTCAGCATCCTTGGGTTGTGGTGGGGCTGGGCTTTTCTCGACTGGAAGTGCTGTCACCCTCTTTTTGTAGGAGGCAGTACCCGAGCAATGGGGACAGTTCTGGTCTCCTCGAGTTGCCTTATTTTATAAACTATATATTTAAGAAAAAAAAANGGAATGGGAATTGGGAACTGGGAATTGGGAATTGGGAACTGAGAATTGGGAACTGGGAACTGGGAATTGGGAATTGAGGATTGGGAATTGGGAACTGGGAATTGGGAACTGGGAATTGGGAATGGGAATTGGGAACAGGGAATTGGGAATTGGGAACTGGGAACTGGGGATTGGGAACTGGGAATTGGGAATTGGGAACTGGGAACTGGGAACTGGGAATTGGGAATGGGAATTGGGAACAGGGAATTGGGAATTGGGAACTGGGAACTGGGGATTGGGAACTGGGAATTGGGAACTGGGGATTGGGAACTGGGAATTGGGAATTGGGAACTGGGAACTGGGAACTGGGAACTGGGAATTGGGAATTGGGAACTGGGAATTGGGAACTGGGAATTGGGAACGGGGAACTGGGAACTGGGAATTGGGGACTGGGAATTGGGGACTGGGAATTGGGAATTGGGGACTGGGAACTGGGAATTGAGGATAGGGAATTGGGAACTGAGGATTGGGAACTGGGAACTGGGAACTGGGAATCGAGGACTGGGAATTGGGAATTGGGAACTGGGAACTGGGAATTGAGGATAGGGAATTGGGAACTGAGGATTGGGAACTGGGAATTGGGAACTGGGAACTGGGAACTGGGAATTGGGGACTGGGAACTGGGAATTTGGAACTGGGAATTGGGAATTGGGAACTGAGAATTGGGAACTGGGAATTGAGGATTGGGAACTGGGAATTGGGAACTGAGAATTGGGAACTGGGAATTGGGAACTGGGAATTGGGAACTGAGAATTGGGAACTGGGAACTGGGAATTGGGAATTGGGAACTGGGAATTGGGAACTGGGAACTGGGAATTGGGAACCGGGAATTGGGAATTGGGAATTGGCAACTGGGAACTGGGAATTGAGGATAGGGAATTGGGAACTGAGGATTGGGAACTGGGAATTGGGAACTGGGAATTGGGGACTGGGAACTGTGAAATGAGGATTGGGAATTGGGAATTGGGAACTGGGAACGGGGAACTGGGAATTGGGAACTGGGAATTGGGGACTGGGAATTGGGAACTGAGCTCCCCGAGCTGCAGAGCCTCCTCCCAGTGCCACCAGTTCCCTTGTTGCTGTCATTCCCGAGTATCAGCTCGGGGCACTCCCAGTTGGGAG